CATTCCCAGTCACACGGAAGTGGTGAACAAGTCGTATGCGACAGGGCATTTCCCATTCCTTAAATACATACAAGCCACAAATTAGCCTGTATGGTAGCATTTTTAATACTCTGTCATATGGAATGAGAAAGTTGTATATATTTGATCACGTGCATAATATTCACACCAAAACTTCGACATGGAGGGCCTTAGCCCTGGGTAAAGAGTTCGCACACACTCGTTAGCCCGTGCTAATGGTCTGGACCGCGTCTTAAATCGGATCAGATTTTACTCGTTACTTAGCATTCCCTAGCCCGTGCTAATGGTCTGGACCGCGTCTTAAATCGGATCAGATTTTACCCGTTACTTAGCATTCCCTAGCCCGTGCTTAGCGTTTACGCATGTTTTCTTAGCACGGTCGTGAGAGCAACTAATGGTAGAAACATAACAAAACTATGATAGTAAAGTAAAGGAAGTACTGTACTTTGTACATATTCATTTTGTTGCGTAATTTGTGTATAGCAAAAATTATGTTTGTTTTGTATTGAGAGACTATATATTTTGTGGTGAATCAATCATTTCCACGTTTTACATTAATTTTATTATTTTTTTCGACTTAACAACTGACGGGTTTGGTATGCCAAGAACATAGTTCAAATATACAAATGCATCTACTAACTTTGCAATCTCTTTGATCAACGTTAACTTTGCACAACTTTGCGCGGTGCATTAACTGCTTAAAGCAGACCACATCAACCACTTGTTATTTGAGCGTTAGAGGGAATTTGAAAACTTTTCTTTAAGTTAAACAAAATACAAACTTTTCCACGACTTTCTACTATAAATGATTGACAGTGTGAAAGAATGTTTCTTATATATTACATGTCTGTGATGAAACAAAAAAAAACCCACTACCTGGTTTTATCAAGTGGTCTCCCATGGAAGTACTAGGCACGCCCAATGTATCTTAACTGTGGGCCCAACAAATCAAATATTCACTATGTGAATAGCCCTAGATGTTTCAGAACGTTACATTCAAGGCAATCCACTATTCTCGTAGCAGTTACAACTGTAGCCTGAAATGTCAAGCTATTACAACTGTTACAATACTTGGCTGCCTTCAATCGTTATAAAATGTTAGAATTTAAACAAATACTGAATGGCTGTAAGAATACTAAAACATATGTGTTTTTTTTATTTGGATATTATATGATGATAGTTTACTTCGAAATAAAAACAAATGATAGAGGAATCGAATTAATACTATTCCTTATGCAATCAAAAAAACTGTGTTGACAGCTTGAACGTCGACTTCACCACCGTAAAGTTACACTCACAAGACCAATCATAATTACGGGGCAAATGTCATGATGTGGAGTTCGTTCTGAGAGTATGCCGGAATGAACAATTCCTCATAGTTATCACCGTCCACATCCTTTACACTGACAGAGCCAACAATTCCTTCCGCCGCGAAAATACTAGCATAGGCGTAGTTCCAATTACTGGGATCTTTGTCGTCCTCGGCGGTGAACAGATAGACATTGCCGTCGTCGTCTCCTGATAGAATGATCTCCGGTTTAACGTATGAAGGTTTGCTGTTGAGTAAATAAACATCAATATTAAACGTTATTGAGTTGAGATAATTTGTATCTCCTAACGGTTCATCATTTAACCCCAAACCACTACCGGGACCGTAACCCCCGGCCGGGACCCACTGTCACAAGTTGTCGACCATTGACCGAACGATGGCGTAATTTTGCTATACTTGTAATGCTCTATTTAATCATCTTGTGTCGAAAATCTAGCAATTTGGTCTCGCCTTACCTGCATTTATTGCAATTCCCATTTTAAAGTGCATTGTTATTTACGCAATTACAATCCGATATAGGTATAATCCTCGGGCGGAGCTACGTCACAAGACGTTCCACGTTGCTAAGACGCGCACCACTGTACCACGTATTTCCACAGGGAGTTGGACAAACTTGTGTGTTTTAATAAATTATTAAATAATAAAATGCTATATAACTTTTCTTTTAACCCACCTTCCCGGTATCGATTTCAAGTAATCACTGCTGGGGAACGCGGAACGCCGATCGAAGTCGGTGAAAATTCGATAAAACCAGGAACTCAACTTTGAAGTAATCCTGAACAATCAAATTTATATGCGTTACACACACAGGGGTAATCTTGTTACACTGTTCAGAATGGTCTCAACAACCTTCCCAAAGTACCGTTTTCTGAGAGTTTTCGGCTTTTGTTTTCACCGTGATGGTTGGCATACCGTGAAAATGACCGGATGTCCGCCCCGAGAATACGAGGATTTGTTTGTTTTAAATGTGACCACAGGTGTACATCACCGCATGGAAAAGAAGAGAGAACGCATATATTTTTGTCCTGTTCCATGATCGCTTCGATTTAGTCACTTTTTAAAAAATCTCGTATTGCGATTATGTTAATAATTATCATTCG